TAGGGAAAGGATGAACAAGCAGCAAGGTAGCTACTGTTTGCTCAATGCACACTGGCGTGTGAAAGACATAATTTGGAGCCTGTTGGTTGGTGATGAGTATCTGCAGTGACCTTGGGAACCTAGGGGATTGAAATGATGGCATATCCTAATGGTAACCAGAGAGGTGCAACAGGCTGTTCCTCAGGAGCCCTAGGAGGGGAGCACAGTGCTGTCCTCACCTAACTGCCCCCATGCCATCCATAAGCTGGTTTGCCAGCTTTTAGCTGTGAGCCTGTTACTTGGGCATTTCTGTGCCTGGCACTGTGAAGGTGACACTGCTTCTCCCAGCACAAGAGAAGGAACACTAAACAGAGGGGATTGAAATACCTCCTTAGCTTAGATTAGCTGGAATGACCCATGGTGTCTTAAAACAGGAGACATGCAGGAAGAGAGTAATCAAAAAAAAAAATCTCTCAAATCTGCACCTGCAAGCCCCACCTTCTCTAAGCACTTCAAGAACTTCGAAAACTCTTTCAAGAGTCAATGACTGAGAGAGAAGGGGAACCAAGAAGTCACAGCTGGCTTCCCTGGGGCAACATGGAACAGTGCTGGGATGTGCATGGAGCTGTAGGGACTTCTGAAGAGCTGGAGGTGTTGTCAGTGACAGGGGAGATGCTGTGAGGCACGTGAGGATATTTAGAAGTCTGTAAGGGACACTGTAGGGTGCTGAATGTATCATATGATGGGTACAGGGATGCTGTGGGGGCCTGAGGTGTTGATGTGGAGTAGTAGAAGACATGTTGAGGTACAGCGAGATGTGTGACCCAGTGCTGGAAATGTGTTGAGTTCATTAGTTTACCCTGTTTATCTGAGTTGGCTGATCCCTAGCCTAGGCCCTGACAGTGTTTGGTCACTGGGTGCCTCGCTCATGACTAAGACTAAAACTGCCACCATTTTCCCCCAAATCAGTCTCCTATCTAACTTGCTATTAGGCTAATGAAGAGCAAAGCTACAGAAACAGGGGGCTACAACCCATTCCTGAAAACGTAGTGATCAACTTTCATTAAGTGCTATGATGCAAGGTACCACCTACCTGTCCTGACTGAGGGTCAGGGCTGTTAATGTCAAAACGGCCAACCCAGTATAGCCAGTGAGCATCCACCAGGGATTCTGGATGAAAAGCCCCACTAAAATGAGCAGCCCACTGAGAGGGTTATTGACAAACATTACCTGAGACGTCCCTTGCAACATACCTGAGAGGTCCCTCGCAACATCCAGTCCATGAGCTGTACCACTAGGGGTTTATCTGAAGGAGATCAAATAAAAGCCTTAGTGATAAGACATCATTGCAGCACTCAAAGCACACCCAGCTTTACAGTCACTTGCTGGCTACAGAATAGAGGTGATGTATCAACAGGACTGTAAAACTGGTCTCTGATTTATTACTGTCTGAACATGTTTTGCGTCTGGCACTTGAAAGGCTAACAGGGATGGCCTGGGCACTGCTATGAAGTTTGCAGAGGGATTAATAAAAATCAGTTTATTTATAATGGTCAAAACTAGCCTTTCTTGCTTGGTAGATTGCATAAGATTCTGCTATAAATTTAATGAAGAAGCAGACCCACTTCTGTGTATAATTCAGCTGTAGAGAGGTACTTGGACAAAGACTGAAACTAGTTGGTATATGTATAGGGACATATGAAAAGCAAACACTTCAACTGTTGGGGAGAAAGCTAGATACTCAGAACACTGAGGTGCATCGTATATAGGAGATGGGGTCAGAGTGGTAAAGGTGTTTATTTCCCTAAAAATGGACTCCAGGAACTGAAGAACCTAAATTGAGAGAATAGTTACAGTTCTCACAGTGCTTAGTTTGGCTTATGCAAGATGGGAATTGCTCTCCAGAGAAGACTATTAAATCCAGACAGAGCAGTGGCAAAAGGATGCTGAGCTTGAGTACTCAGGTGAGTTCATAAGGGCAGCGGGATTCATGTGGGGCTGGGGGCATTCTGTGAGGAATTATCTAGCTACGGTGTTCCTCGTGATTTTAATGTGCTGAGGAGGGTCTCAGTAGCACTGCAAAAACTCCTTACTGCTGGTTCTGCTACTGCAAATTGGCCCAAGGTCTCTTAGTACCCAACTCTGGGAAGAGTGTAACCATTTCTGTCCTGTTGTACGGTGTGTTGTTATGCACATGGCTAGAGTATCTGAATGAGAAAGAAACTCTGTTTGCACATGATAGAGCACCTGCAGTTCATGCAATGTGTATGTGCATCTTTCATTTGTGCTCTTAAATATTAAAATTAATTGAATTAGCTACATTAATAATACATCATTGACTAAATTATTAATTGGGCATTGCACAAAGTGTCAGACTACTTTTTAATCTGAGGAGCCTCTTATTCCTCATCCTTCCTTCTCTTCTACTTCTTTTCTATGTTACACTTGCACTGGAGCCTCCAATTTTTTTTTCCAAGGACAATAGCTTTGATAGAGATGTGAAGAGCTGGATACCATCCTGCCT